TTTGTATCAGAGATAGTCTGTTAAAACAGACTGGAAATTTTTCATAGTCAGTTAAGATAACGATGACCAGATAAATATAAATCTTCAATGAAAGTGATTTAACTCACTTGTTTGTGCCCTGAATTAACTGTAATTGGTTACAGCTACTGACTGTGTAAGTTACTGCTCTTCAGCTCTTACTTTTGTCTCTGTTGCTGTTTAATTCATTATCTGGGAAATTCTCATTCTGTGTGTCCAGGACTAGGATTCTGGTTGTCTGTCTCTACATCCACAAGTTACAAGGTCTCAGTCTTACAACGAGAGTCCTCGTCCCTGTCTTCAGCCGTGGTACTCTTAAGGATGCTTAACTTTAGCTTTAACACGTACTAGCGTGATTTGTACATAGATGGTACATTCTAGCTGAAGGCAGAATAGCCTTTGTAATACAGCTCCAGATACTGTGATGAATGCAGCCTGGATCTAGAGTGAAGAGCATGGCTTTATTTAAAAACAATCAGACAAACAAAAAAAACCCAACAGTAAATGACAACATATCTCTCTTAAATAGGCAGTGAATATGGCATCCTCAAGAGTCATATCAAAGCCTGCCAAGGTACAATGAATAGAATATTCTACAGACTGTCTCTCGTCTTTAGAAGTGCATTTCATTTTACTTAGTGCTGTTTAGAAAACAGTTGCTCTAAATTGCAGGCAGATCCGCAAACTTTAAACAGGAAGTGTCCCTGCTGCTGCTGCAGCCCTCTGACTTCTACCCAGAGTAATCCCATGTGCTCTACAAAAAGCAAGAACAAGAAGTAGCTGATTAAGTCACAGGCAGGAGCCTGCTTTAGGAAGATCAGGTTGCAATCCTGCCTTTGTAGCTTTACACCACACCCCTTCAACATGGAATAATAGGGGAGGATCATATTCAGCACTGCTTTAGGAATTCTTTCTTTCTTCAAGAACTGTTGCTAGGAGTTTGGTGAGTACTTTGTAACAGACTTTCAGTTTTATGTGAGGGTTGTTTCTTTTTTTTTGCTTTAGCTGGCAGAAAGGAGTATCTATTGTTATGGTTTCTTTAGAATGTGGTAGATGCAGTAGTCAGATGTTTGGTTTCAAAGTCCAGCAATGAGTGCTGCAAAAAGGGACACTTTTTTCTTTGTAAATTTGAAACAGTAGGACAATGAATACACTTTTATGATTACTAATACAACTAATCTTCGGTTGTCAGGATATCAGACTAAGGTATTTTGAACTCCAAGGCAGTTTATTGAGAGAACGCCATCCTAAAGGTGACTCTGTTAATTTTGATCAATAGCTGGAATTTGAGGGAAAAAAAAAAAACCAAAATCATCTTGTTTTTTAAAGCAATTTCTCCACTACAGTATCTTCAAGGGAGGCTTGATTCAGATGGGGGTCTGCTAAGCTATTTCAAATCCTTCTAAGGCATATAACATTTGAAGCAATTAATATTTTGAGAAGGAAAAGAACATTTTAGGAAAAACAAATTAAGCTGATGCTACTATAAGCCAAATTCACTCACAATGTATATTGAAATTCTCAAGAAACTAAAAACACTTGAACAATGAGGAGAGTAGCAAATAAGACTTGCAGTGGTGACAATGTAGCGAACACACACGCCACTGCCGCACCCCCAAAACCCCAGAATATTATTGGTGATTTTTATAAAATTTTACTATTTTACTTGGAAGAATTGACATAAACTTCATTTTCAGCATCTCTGTAATGAAAAGCAGTGATACTAGCCTATATTTTAAAAAAAGCAGCTAGTTAAAATTTTAAATAACTATGTTTATGAAAATCTAAAAACAATTTAAAAGAGAAAAAGGCACGTAACAATGGGAAAAGTGGAGTAGGGAGAAAATAACAATTTGGATGAGGGGAGTATGTGAAAGGTCAATGTGACTCAGTACTCTAGAAATTAGTCATCAAAGTACTTCATGGAAAACAAGTAAAGATATAAACCTTCCTTCCTGAATGTCTTATGGATAGACGCAAAGACAGGAAGTCCAGCTGTCAGTATAGATATGAACTGCAAAGACATGCTTTAGGAATTGCTAGGCACCTACTTGGGAAAAATTGTCAGCCTTTTCCCTTTGTAATCTGCTCATTCTTTAATTCTGCTAAGAAAGAGTTTGTGATTGTCTGTGAAGGCACCAAAGATCTATATCTACAGTAAATTAATCTGGATTATTGTTTAAGCTGAATTTGAGAATTGTAATCAAGTTTACTTTGTGTGTAATGCACACAGAGCAATATTGAGGAGGTAAAGATGATTAAGGCTCCACTCCGGCCTTTTCTCCTGCCAAGAATATCCCACATGAAAGGGTTCATTAAAAAGTAGTCATGTTGGCAGTTGCTTGATAAATCCATTTATTTGAAATTTTTGTAACTTTTATGCTGGAGAATCTCCAAGTGTGTTTTAAACTGACTTTCAGTAATCTTTATCCTTATATTGTGCATTACATAGTTTGCAATCTGGAGATTTAATGCATTTCTTAGGAGCCTCAAGAGTTATATGACTCTTATCTCACAATTTTGGAGCAAACTGTTTAACATCTGTCTAATTCCAGTCATTAATATTGCTGTTTGTTTGGGCTGCATTCTGAACAGTCATATTTTCCCTTTAAGAACTAGGAGAAGCTGGCAATTCCTAAAGAAACCAGAACTGGATAGATATTTTGGGAAGGATTGAAGATGGGATCTTCATATCTAAAGCTCTTCCTCACACTGAAACCAGGGAGAGCTGTCGTAAAAAACAGGGACAAATTACCTATTTCTGTGTGTTTCTCTTATGAAACTGCTTTTACTTTACAATAGGGAAAAAGTGCCCCTGGGGATAGAATGAACCAAAACTATATGGGAAAATGTATAATTCCTTTCCTCTCATAGTTATTTCACAGCAAAATAGACGTATTTTTAGTCCTTTAAATTTTCTCTCCCAACTCCTTTGTTTGACTTCCTTAATTATTTCCTGTTACTGTTAATACAGCTGTTAATTTTCCATCTTTAGTATTGCTGTCAACTTCCATGATGTATGCTGTTCATAACTAAGTATACCTCTGAAGTTAACTGGTTAATTTGATTTACTGTTTAGTGAAAAAATAAAACTAGGAATTTGAACACGTTGACAGAGGACATAATCTGGACACAAGAAAGTTCAACCTTCTTTCAGAGAATAGAGCATTCCAAAAGACCTGATTTTAAAATAACTACATCGAAAGTAGCAATTGCAGCAAGTAAATTAGAAATACAAGTATTATATGAAGGAAATTCTTAGGTGGTACAGTTTTTATGAACTTCTCAGAAAGGTCTGCAGCAGTGTATTAGCATTTTCTGTAAACAATTTCTACTTTGAAAAGCAATCTTTTTCCTCTGTATTCATATAACACAATGAGGTTCTGGACGATGATGTATGTGTTCATCAGGCAGAGAAAAAGTAGTGTAGAAAGATGAGGCTGAAGTTTTCCGTGCTCTGAGACTCATCTGGTGAATGTTCTAGGTCCACAGAAGCTGGCACTGCCACCAGAATAAGCAGCACTATCTATACTATGGTGAGAGGTGAAAGGAATGTGACCCTTTCTTCTCTATGGCAGTGTTATTTTATGTTGGTTTTAAGCATTTGGGGAGTAACAATCTGAGGCAGTCTGAATCTGGGAGTATTCCCACTGATGGCAATTACAGCATTTCTAACCTGCATGATGATCCAAAGCTCATATATCCGTTGCAGTAAAAATTTATGCAGTGTCTCCAGCTGGGAAGATAGAGTGAGCTAAATTTACTTGACAAAGCAAGCAAATTTGTATTTTGATTTTTGGTATGTGTGCAAAATGTGACGATGAGGTTACAAAAGGTTAAAAAAAAGTATGGTCAAAATCGGTCACGAGAGGCATCAGTGCGGCAGGTAGTTTCCTCCTGTGCCTGCCTGTTAGACTTTCAGTTAACTGACAGCTTTGCTTTAGTGAAGTTGAATAGTTGTGTTTCTGTAGTGTGTACAATGTGAAATTACACACAACTGGGTTGATAACAAATATGTAGCACTGAAGTGACTCTCCATTAGAAAAGATGATGGTGGTAAGTTTACTGACCTCTAAATTTGTGACTATTTATCAATAAGCACAGCTGAGATTTGAAAACATACACTATACTTTTCCAGCCCAAACTGCTAGGGAAAAAACAAGCTAGCGGCTTTATAATGCTGATGTTGGGACTGCCATGCTGTGTTCCTAAAACCATAACTAATATTGCTGCTTGTTGGTTTTGCCTAGTGGCTTTTGCGCTCTGAAAGTAGCTATTATTAGGATGCTGAAGGCATTCCCCATTTGAAAATAGGATTATGTGACCTACATTGTTGCTACAAACAAGTAGTTTCTGTCTGAGTAGTACAGGTTTGAGTGTGGTGGGTTTAGTGGTTTGTTTTTTAAGATTTATGAAATTATGTGAACTAATAATTTTGTTTAGTCTACATTTAAAAAGATTTTGGTAGGAGCAAAAGAATACTTCCTTTGCCTGTTGAAAGCTACATCACAATGAAAACAGGCTGTATACGTGGAGTAGATTTACCTCAGATTGGGATGTGGTGTGTCAGATAGATGCAGTTGCCGCATCTAAATAAATAAATGGCTTACTTCTTTATTACTGTTTGAATCAGTCTTCTATAAGGTCAAAATTGAAATTCAAATAATGTCCTCGGTATGTCCTTTACGATAAGCTCATAATGTTGGATCCCATACCATGTATTTTGGGTTTTTCCCCTATGGCTAGTAGAAGTAGCTACAAAATTGTTAGATGTTCTCCATAAAGGTATCACTAGTTGTTACAAGATTTGATGTAGGCAAATCCAGTGTTGCTATGAGAAGTGCAGGTATTTTGAAAATCACTTAATTTCAGAGGTTATAATTCAGAGAGTTAGGAAAATGACTTGCAGGCTACTATTGCCAAGGCGTACTCTCGCCATCTCTCTGCCTCCCAGAATATACCCACTTCCTAGCTCTTGGGTGATGGCTATCATGGATGTGAGTGAGGCCCCGACTCAGCCAGGTAAGAAGAACTTGATGGAGGAGGAAATGAGGGTCTGGAGCTGTGTCAAAACAGAAGTTGAGGTGAGACTTGATGGCAAAAGTACCTCGTGCCAGGTGTGAGCTTACTAGGAGGAGGGAATAAATAGGTCCTGCAGCTAAGTTGGGAAAATGGAAAACAGTTTTCAAGCACAAGTGAAAGGAGTTGATAAAGTAAAGTGAAAAGGCAAGAGAGGTCTGTAGTTACGTGAAAAAAGAAAGGTGGTGTTCTGGTAGGCTTATTAATTTTGGGGATTTTTTTCAGGACTATTAGGGATGCTACTGTACAGCACAGCAGGAAGAGAAGTTGAGAGGGGGAGGAATTCATACTTACTTCATACTTTTTCTGGAGTAAATGAGAGAACATGATGCTTCAAATAGCTGCCAAATAGCACATGTAATAAAATACTTTTTAAGGGAACTCAATGACTCTGCCAGCTGGGAGACAATACTACAGGTATGTCTAATTAAATCTGTGTCATACAAGTCCTAGTAGGTAGTGCAAGATATCAGACGGCAAATATAATGCCTCTGAAATATAGCGAACTGAAAAAGGTCTGCTTTTATATTAGAGGTGCTATAATCCTGTCTAATAAGAGTTTTTAATCTTAATTTTTGGCTGTGCTAAATTCAACCTCTGACTATGTACATCCGATCTCCTGCTATTCATTATTTACTTATATCCTTTGCCTTTTGTGTGTGTGTGTGTTTGCGTCCATTTCCTGGGTTGTCAGTGTGAATGAGTCACTTTTACAGTCATTACAATGTCACTTTATGCCATTTTCTAAAGCTGTCTGGTTTTGGCTGCTACTGGAAATGCTAGCTTTTATTTTGCTTTTTCCAGTTAGCTAGTTAGAGATAAATACCATGCTGAAGGAATGTTTGCTTCTAAATGTTCTGGTAACTATAGAAACTGATGTTGAAGAGACTGCTAAGTAAAAAATAAATAAATATATATATACACAAACACATAAAAAATCTGCAAACTGCATGGAGAACACACAGAGTTTTATACTTGTCTGTCTTCAGGGAAAAAAAAAAAAAGAAAAAAATCTTGAGAGCTTTTTCATATTTCTGTGTTCAGGTGGCAGGATTAAAAAGGCCTAGTTATAAGACCAGGTAATAAGGATCTATTACTGGGAACATCTTTGATTGCTTGTGGTGTTCTTTGTCTGCCTATATTCCAGCTTGAGGGAAGCTAATAGCATTATTCACAAATGAAAGCATTTAATTAAACCAGTAAATAAATCAAAGCCTATTGTTACCCATAGACCTTTGATCTCCTTTGTCATGTAACTTAGATGTTGTCTGTTATAGATATAAAAATGTCTCATTCAAAAGGTAGTTGGTTTGTGAGTAGCAGAATGCCAGTTCATAAGGAAATGTCTTAGGAATTTATGAAATTTACATTAACGACACTTTGATGTAGAGAAAAACTGGTATTAATGCTGGACTGATTTCTGACTGTCCTAAATTAGAACCCTTCTGGAGTAAGAGGCTATATTTACTCCTAGAGATTTTCAGAATTTGGCCTAAATAATCAGACTGTTTAACATAAATTATGTAAACTCAAAGCATTTCCTATTTTTCCCATGACAGACATTGCTTCACAAATGTGTGCATTTGATATTTTACTGAGCCAAATGTCACAGATGAAGTGCTTTGAATAATGCTTTCCATATAAATACAATAAAAAAGAAATAGAATGGATTAAAAAAGGAAATAAAATCAATATTGTAAGAGGCTTACAGCTTTAAAGTTCTCTTACTGGGCAGCTGAACATTAAATCAGAAAACTTGGACTTCTCTAGAAGGTTTGGGGTTTTTAATTGAAAAAGCAGTGCCAAGTTCACTTTGATCTTGGATTTCACTCTTCCTTTAGGAATTAGAAGAAATAATTAAGCTACAGAAAGATTTAAGCATGTCAGTACTAAAACCTTCACCCCCTTCGTCCCACCTCGACCCATACCTGACACTATGTTCTGGGACTGCATGGCCTTCAGAGATGGTTAGTAAGAAGATAAAGGAGATTGTGTTTGGTCAATAGACTTTGCAGGAAGGCAGATATGCAGTTATACAGCCCAAATTTTTCCTCCTGGGAAATTGCCCAATGATCAGGAAGCCCTACTTTTGACAAGACCTTCTTCTCAGGGAAATCTAGGACTTGAGTAGAATAGAAATACTGTACCTTGCCAAGATTTTTGTTCTCTGTGCAAATGCACTAATTTATCCTCGTAATCACAGATTGACAATTACATATGGTAGCTCATGGTATACAAAATTCTATTTTCAAATGAAAAAGAGAAACTTATTGTGGATTTTTGTTTCTGGCTGATTGTTTCCTATATTTTTCTGCTACTTGGGAACAGACTTTTGGGAATACTGGATGACTGAGTGAAAATGAATTATGAAATTTTGTAATCTAAATCTATACTCTGCAGATTTCTGGAAGAAGGAACCAAAGCCTCAACTTGAGCGATCCAAAAGCAAATTCAAATAGAATTTTCTTGAACTAGTGAGAGTTTTACCATCATGTTTGGAAAAACTCAAATATAGAAAATGAGAGCCCAGGCACAACTTGGAATGGTCAGCTGAGGTTGTGGATAATTTGCAAGTTCCTTTGTGAAGAGTCACAACTGTGCCAATGATTACAAATTAAAACTTCTAAGGAAAACAATGTGCTTTAAAAATTCCCCTTTCCCATGTCATTTCAAAAACTAAAATTGAAAGTGTATTTTGTAATTTTTCATTCCCATGAACTTACAGGAGCCAGGAAAAGTGTGGAAGTTATTACTATCTATCTCAATATCAAATCTGATAATTTGATGATATTCCTGCTTTTACTCAATCTACATGATATCAAATTATCACCACCTTTATTTACATTATAATGCTTAGTACTTGTGCAGTAGGTTAAAATTTTTTACTTAATATTTCTCCCCATACAATTTTTCTTAGTCATGGATTTATTTTAATTTTAATTAATGTTAAACTAACATCATAACTCAGACATCTCTCATCATAAAGACAATCTTAGACAACTTCAGGTTACCTTGTACCATTAATTTGTTCCTTTCTTAAAGCATAACTGGACTTTTTATCAGGGGTGATTAAAAAAATTTGCTGTAACTGTTTCTCTAACTTTTGAATAAAAAAATAAAATTTTTCCACAGCCATGTACCATGAAACTTTGCATGGAAGAAAATCTGGTATTAGGCCAAATGCTTAGTAAGAAGAGGTAGTCTGTTTCTGGCAATCATAGAATGGACAATGAAAGCTGAAAAGAAACATTATTACCTCTATTCACTTTGTGCAGAAACATAGTCAATAGAACTCCTTTTTGAGATGTTTTCTTGGTTTATTTTGGATTTGTGTTATACTCTTACATGACGTTATTTTGATATGTTAAAAGCTTTGCTGATTACATATGTGATTTATTTCTAGTGTCTGATGTCAAAGACGCTATTTTTTGCCAGGTATTGTATAGAGATCTATTTCTGTGGATCTTTTGGCATTAAACTTCATCCACTTTGACAGAAGCTGATCAAATTCAGGGCAAACATGATGAATCTGTGACAGTAATGTCAATGTTGGCCATTGCCCTTGGTCTTGAACAGTTATTTTGCTTTGCTGGGTATGTATTGTACTCAGAAAAAAAAAAAAAATGGAGACGGAATATCTGTTCTTTGATTGATCTTGGAAAACTTGAAAATTACCTGAATAATGACAAGAAATGCTGAGAATATCCCAAAGAGAGAGCATGCTAATGCTGATGTTGGGTGCTGTAACTCAAAAGTATTCAGTGGATTGCAACGAACATTGCAGTAAAGACTCTTCCTTTCCTTTAATAGTGTGATGTTTTAAAAAGTCAGTGATGAGATAACATTGGGACAACAGCTGCAAGGAGGATGGTATTAGAAAGTGGAAATAATTAACTAACACATAATTATCACATGTAAACAAGAGACTTCCAAACAGACTGACAAATAAGTAAGGCAAATGGGAGCAAACGGGGTCCACCAGTAAATGTAGACAGTGGCATTAATGAATGTAATTAAGTCTAAACATCTGGCATGTTAGAGTGAGCTGATAACTGATAAATCCATAGCACAGTGCCATGGTTTTTTTCTCTGTCTTTTAGTGCTGTTATAGGGATATCCTGTGATCAGCTAAGTGACCCGTAAGTAATTCCTCCAGTAAAGAGGTTGGGGAAAAATTATTTATGGCTTATTCACTCTGAATGGAGCAAACAGATCACTAGAAATTTGTCACTGGGGAAAGGGGAAAAATAATACCTAATGACATTGAATTTTAATATGTAAAATAGTATAGGAATGTAAAATTTGAGTTCTAGTTAGAAACACTACTTCTATTTCTTTGTAAAATACCTGAAAATGAGCGATTATAGCTCTTGCATGTTTTTTTGGTTTACATAATGTTTCAGAATTTTTAACAAGTTGGTTTCTATTCCAAGAGTAGTTATTAATTCTCTAGCAGAAAGCAACAATTTCTGAATTTGTTCATAGAAATAAAAAATAATATTTGAGGAAAGTTTGTTTAAAAATCATTATTAATAATTCAATGAGATTGAATTATTTTGCTAAACATTTTTCAAAACTTTATCTGGATAAGAGATTCTATATGTCAATGTAGAAATTAAGCTTAAAAATTTATATTAAATGGCATGAAAGACAAATGCATTCTTTTGTTTATTTTGGCAGAAAAGCATTATGAAAAAATGAACGCAATCATATTTTTGTTTTTTTCTCACAAAATTCTAATCTTTAAAAAAAAAAAGAAAATAGAAGATATCTCTTGGTGTTTTTCACTACATTATATACTGAGGCCTTCTAAGGGAAATTGTGAATTTAAAAAATTATCCAAGTAATTAGTGCTGCTTGTGGTCTGGTCTGTAATTTCACCAAGACTTATTTTAATTTCTTTTTTACTACACATGCTGCAAGTTAGGAAAACAATGAGTATGCAGAAAGGAAAAATTGGTAAATTGTCAAGAGAGAAATGAAAATTCTGATTTGCTGTTGAAGATATAACTCCACTTCTGGCTCTGGCACAGTTCAGAGTGAATGTGGCAGATTGGTTAATCTATCTTTGTTCAAATTTCTCCTTTCTGAGACATCATTGCATGCTGGTGTTTTCCAAGATACCCTAGCTAGGATTTACTTCTAACTTCATAGTCAAAGATATATCACTCAGAGAAAAGTTTAATCTGTTAAAGATGACTGCTGTTAATGTCACGTGCCCCTTCAGCATCATCTCTTTAGCCTGTGTCCCAAGCACAGTGACAGGTCATCTCATCTCCTCCCGTAGGCCCTCCTGCCCTCACTGTTGTAGGTGATGCAGACATGCTATCTTCACAGGCATGTAAACAAAAACACTGAAGACAAAACAGTGTCCAAAGGCTAGGAACTTCCTAGTCCTTAGATCTTTAATTTCTGTTAAGTTAATATTAGTCAAAATTTAGCATTGTACTTTAAGAAAACAGAATATCTATAGGGAATCTACCTATTAGTAGCTAAAGGTGATATTGAGCCTATTCTCTAACTAGAATTCGGAGATCCTTAAGGAACTTTTAGTTACTTGGAAAATATGCATTTCTAAAAAAGTTAAAGCAAAAGTTTTACAGCGGTACTCCGATATGTCCATGCATAGCCTCATCTTTGGCAACTTGAATATGCCAGCTGCCATGGAGTAAAAGTATTTTCTTTGTGTGAATGACAATGGATCCTATGTGAAAAATAATAGCTCTGCACTTGAGTATTCAATATTAAAGGGATCTACAAGATACAAAATACTTCTTAAAGCATTGAAGCCCATGTAGCAAAATATTCACTGACTCCTGTGAAATGCAACTTACACAAAAGTCCAGGAACTTGGTAACTATAATTGATTAAATATTCATTAAAAATAGAATGCTATGTTTGCGGCAATGAATCTAGGGTCTGCAGACAGAGTAAAACTTATTTGGAAGGACTGGACACACCAGCCAACTATACATAGTGTAAAACTGATCAGGATATGAAAAGTAATGTTACATTTTATATCATTATATATTCTGGGAGGTGATTTCAATTGTGGCTTAAAATAAAAATAGTAGCAGTGCCTTTAATCTATACTGGAGATAGGAGACTTGCAATCAGCTGAGCACAACTGTAAATCTTGTCTTGTTTTTCATTGTGCTTACAGTATAATTATACTAACATAACTCCTGTTATTTCCAAAGCTCCCAGTTTGTCTGTCTACCCATATGGCTATGCACTACCCTGCTAATGACTTTTGCAGAGCACTCAAGGAATTTGATTGAAATGTACGTTGTCATTTGTATGTTATACAGGAAAGATGAAGGAAGGAAGAAAGAAGGGATGTTCCTTACCTTTAACCTTTATCTTGCTGCTCATCGGTATCACTGGGCATGCAACTACTGACTTGGATGATGGCGAAGAAGAGGATGTTCTAGGTAAGAGGTTACGAAAATGACACATAAAATTAAACAACAAAACCCTGTTTAAAATGCACCTACAGTGCATTTTAACAACACTGTGTTAAAATGGACTGTAGGTATAATTCTGTACTTGAGAATTTTTCTGGGAAACTTTTGAAAGTGGAACTAAGCTAAAAATGCACTGGTTTCTAACAAGGACGTGCTCAGAATTTTGCATTAAGCTTTAGCAAAATTGCCTTCTATAAAGGCTTCTGTTTCCTATGCTTTTTGGAATTTCTAATCCTAATCAAACATTGTGTTAGATATCAAGATTATTCCCTTAAAGCTCTGCTTTAGGACCCATGGAAAAGTTCAGTGTTTAGGGAAAAGAACATACAGCTGGTAACATCAGGATTTCTCTCCCCAGGCAAATGGGGCAGAAACATGATGACTAATATTGCAGACTGATGTTGCTCTGTCCTGTGCACAGCTCGAGTCACAGTTAATTTGCAGTTTGGTCTAAAGATGATGCAATTGCTGCCCTAGTTGTTTTTCTGGGCCTTGAAGAAGCTTGTTGTATAGCCCTAAGTGATTTGATATTGCTGGATAAATAAAAACTCACCAGTTGGAAAGAAATGTTTAAGAAAAATAATGTTAGAAGTGTGACTTAGAACTGGGGAGGTTTTCTGGTTATTACCATTATAAGATCGTTGTTCACTTTCACTTCACTGAAACTAAGTAAGCTGGATCACTCTTCCATACTGGAGATAATTGTGAAAGATATTGTAATTTCCTCCCAAACAATTTTGAGAAAGCAGATGGGGCAAAAATACACTAACATATATACTAAAATGTTATTCTTTCCTTTGAGAAAATGATTTACAGTTGTGATCTCTTTCTTAAGCTGCAGAGAACTGTGCAGTGGATGCTTCTCCCATTTGACAGGTCTTATTTTGAAGCCTAACTGGTAATGCAGCTCAAGGGAACCTTTTTTTTTAATATTGGCACTCTACTTAATCTGCCCATGTCTCGTCCAATTTCCATCGAGATTATTTCTATCAGGTTTTTGCAGCAGTGTTCCTTAAGACAAAAATATTAATTGTGCACAATCATGGCTATACTACAAATGTAGCTAGTGCTTTAGGACTGTCACAACTAGTCACTACAAGTTAAGATATGCACTGTTCTGCATTAAGTATGTGCTTAGCATGATTTTGTAGTCCAGACTGTTTCATACAGAATAAATTTGTTTTTGTTTAACCCAAAGTACATAAATGCCATTCTTGTTTAAGGCAAAGTCACATTTATCTTTGCTCTACCCTGCAACTCTTAGTTTTATAAAAATCCTTAGCCTAAGCTTGCATTTCATGAAGGCTAAATTCTCTTGCTCGTTAAAATAACACACTTCATCACTAGAACACCATTAATCTGCTGGATTAATTTTTTTCCTTTATTTACTGACTTTGTTTATGAAAGACAATAAGAAAATAATCTCCAGGAAACTAAATAGTCTTTTTATTGGGCATTGTTTTATCACTGATTATTTTCAACCAGTCATTTCAGGTTATACAAACAGCAACTGATTTAGTATGAGGAACAGTTCTGAACTTTTGGGCTTGTATTCCAAAGTAAAAAACAATCAAATGTGATACTTAATTAAACTAGGATCCAGTGACTACTGAAGACTCAGTTGCAGTGTTTACAAAATATTTTTGCAGTACTCTGTTTCTATAAAATTATTAGATTGTTGCTAATTAAAATTATATTTGTGTTTTCTTAAGAGTGAAATTCTGGTCTCAGTGAATTGAACCAGAAATAATGTAGGCTGCAATTTCACTGATAGTGTTTATTTTCTGAGTTGGTTACAAAACATTGACATATTTTATCCTAGAATTCAATAAATTTTAGGTATTAAAGGATAAAGTTGTACATCCATTATTCATAATGTCCGACTTTTGGATCACATGGGGTACAAGTGCTTTGTGAATCTAAGAGGGGTTTTTTTGTCTATTAGTATTTAAATTACAGTAATAATTAAGGTTACAACTCAAGTCCAATGGGATAAAAAGAATTCTCAGTTTGTTCTCTTCTGGTAAAACCTGTCAGTTTTCCACCAACAAGTAAAAGTGATAACAAAAATAAATGATATAAAAATAACTAGTTTATATATATTGTTCAGTAATACCTTATGTGGTTGGGAGCACTTTAGTTGATGTTCCAAAGCCTGAAGAAAATTACTCACAAGTTGAATGTGCATTTTATTCATATGTGAAAGTCTATCAGGAATAAATGTGACTGCTTAAAGAAAGGGTAGGAAACACATGGGTAGGAAGAGCACTGAACAGTGTGCGGGTGGGAAGCTGTCAAAGTGACAAAGATGGAGAGAGAAGAAACAGCTACTCATAAGTGACAGGGTGCTTAGTATTGATATCACATATCAAAGAGAGACACTTACAAGAAAGCCTAGAAAGATGACAGCATATCATTATAATTAAGGATAACCACAGGAAGTCATATAAGGTTGAGAACCCATAACCTAAGCAAACAAAACCAGAAAGTATTTTACATAAAAAGTCAGAAATATTCCTGTCTAAGTTTTATATTCTTATACTTGTAGAATGGTTTGGGTTGGAAGGGACCTTAAAGATCACCTAGTTCCAACCCCCCGCCATGGGGGGTTCCAACCCCCTGCCTGGTCCACTAGACCAGGTTGCTCAAAGTCCTGTCCAACCTGGTCTTGAACACTTCCAGGGATGGGGCATCCACAGCTTTTCTGGGAAACCTGTTCCAGTGCCTCACCACCCTCATAGGGAAGAATTTCTTCCTAATATCTAACCTAAATTTACCCTCCTTGAGCTTAAAGCCATTACCCCTTGTCCTATCACTACAGGCCCTTGTAAACAGTCCTTCTCTAGCTTTCCTGTAGGCCCCTTTCGGGTAGTGGAAGGCCGTTCTAAGGTCTCCCCGGAGCCTTCTCTTCTCCATGCTGAACAACCCCAACTCTCTCAGCCTGTCTTCAAAGGAGAGGTGCTCCAGCCCACTGATCATCTTCGTGGCCATCCTCTAGACTCACTTCCAACAGGTCCATGTCCTTCTTATATTGGGGGCCCCAGAGCTGAAATTTTCCCTATTTAATTTCTATAGTTCTGTTCTAAAAAGCAACTATGCAATAATACTGTTGTCTTTCATATCTGTTGTGTCATAGGTATAATACAGAAATCAATTCACTTTCTAAAAGGGATGTATTTTTAACAACCAGCCCTGCAGAGTCTGAAAGTCAAGTTAGTGTCTTGTATTAAGCCTACAGCCAGGTAAAAAAGTATTGGTTTTACTTGTATTCATGTAAGAGAATGAGAGACGTTATTCACCACTTCTGGTTTTGTAATGTTATATTGCTTACTCGTAAAGTGATAACAGTGCTTTGCATTGATTATATAGGGTCCATGTGTTTAGGGGTACAGCATGAGTAACTGCAGATTATTAGAGCTCTCACAATGAAATTACTTCATGTTAGTTGATAGTAGCTGTTCATGTGTTAAATAGCCATGTCCTGAGTTGCAAAAGTTGCCATGTGAATAACAATAAATGTGAGAATGGCTATGCTGTGTAGGAACAGTCTTGGCAGTATCCTGTTTCTGGCAGTTGCCAGAAGTGGGAAGACTTGAAGGAGTGGAGGAAGAAGACAGTGACATAAAATATCTGCACTAAACTTGTGCTCTTTGTGAGCTGTTTCATCACCATTATTTTGCACTTACCAGAAACTGTGGAGTGGAAAGATTGTTAAGACAGAGCAGTGGACACTTGGTGCCTTCTGTTATGAAAACCTATATAGCTGATTTAATAAAGTTATTAAATCAAAAATTCGAGGAGTAGGGGAGGAGGAGAGGAGGTTTTGCTTTGCTTTATTTTGGTTTTAGTATGGTAAGTAATCACTTTTGTGTGACTGTGAGCACAGCTGTAACCTTTATTTACTGTATTTCTAGCATAACTCAGTTTTCTTGATTTAGGGTCGTACAGTCCTATAATTCTATAGATTTTCTAAATTTATTTGGACCAGATGCCTAAATTGAATGAGTAATAAATATCTGATGGGGCCAGATCCAATGTGGAGGATTGAACTAGTTTTCTTTTTAATATGACAAATGGAACAGGCTATGCTTCAGGAGAGTCAATGGATTCATAAATATAAGGTGGAAAATAACTGTTGAAACACCTGTATAACAAGGATATATTTGCTGGAAAGTAAGTGGAATTTGCAGAGCATTACAAAAATAATGCAATGTTGCTGTAAAAAAACCCAAGTAATTCTGTGAGGTATTAAGAAAAAAAACAAAGTATAATTATTCCACCCTATTTGGCACCAGTAATAGCTCAGGTAGAGGATTATGTTCAGCTCTGGGCAGCACACTTTAGCAGTCATGCAGACCAATAGGAAAAGATCGAAAGGAGAGTTCTAAGAGGCTTAGAAAGCAAGTCAATAAAAAAATGGGAAGAAGGGAGTTTATTTGATACAGAGGTAAATAAGAGGAGACAAAAGTCTTCCAAAAGGAAGAAAGACCGAATGGGTTTAAATTATTCTGTCTGTGCACTGAATGAAATACAAAATTATTTAATATGTAATAAAAGAGTATTTAGTCTGTATATTATAAAAAAGTCCTGTCTTGCAAGAAGGGTAGTAAAATCCTGGAACTGGCTGCTTCAGGTTGCTGGGAATTTTACTTCACTGGATTTTTTTTTAAGAACAATTTGGACATCTGTCAGAAAAGGTCTCAAGGTATTTACACCATTAGAAATATGCCAAAACTTGAATAAGAAACTCCATTAAAATTCCTTCCAGTTTTAACTTCCCCTCTTCTATTGAAGAATATTCACTGACCTTCCTGACAGAAGTCTTCCCTAAATGTCATATCCTGTGCTCTTCACATAGGACCTAAAATGTAGTAGGAACAATTTGTTGCAGTGCTCAAGAGCAGAGGAGGAGGCCTTATACTAAGAATTCATTTTCTCAAGGTATATTCCACATGTGAAATGATTTGTATCCATGCAGATGTACTGGCCAAACATACTTGCCTTCTCATCTACTGCTCTAATCTTAGAAGAAAATCTAATTTTATATCATCTGTGTGAATTAATTGTTCCCAGGTGTAAAATAGTGGGGAAGAATTCTTTCACTGTTCCCAGACAGAAAAATGATTCAGTTCCCATGAATCCCTTTGAGACTTCTTTCTTCAGAGTCACTTGGTTATTGTTCAAACTTGGAGGGTTTGGCCCCTGGGGATTTCACAGGGTACAGATTTTAGTCAAAGTATGGTAACTTGCTAGCACTCCTTAGAAAATAAATGTCTGATTGCCAAAAAGTGTGACACAGATAGTCATTATGTTTGCAGCAGATGTCAGTGCATCTGACAGTGGTAACAGTGTCACTGTGACTGCAGAGGAAAGCCTTAGGAGGTAAGCAAAACAATTTAGTTCTATGGGTTTGATGGGAAATAGGCTAGGAGTCAAGACCATAAAGTTCCTAAGACACTCTACTAAGCTATTGGTTCATCATCCTTGTGTAGTTTTGCAACTATACTTGCACACTATTTCTGTTTTGACAGCCCACAACGTTGATGTGGTATAATGTACCAAGCAAAATGAGCTGACATAACCCCATGTCTGAAATTCCGGTAGTTAAGAAACCTAGTGAGTTTTACAACCTCTTCCTGACTGAACTAGGTCACTGACACAAGTCATGTAGGAGATGTCATTTCTTGTGTGCTAAGAAAGTAACATGTTTATAAACCAGCTGTAATCCCTCGCCCCATCCACATTTGAGTTGTATCTGTTTCTGTGGAGCTCTGAATGTTTGATTTTACCATTTCAGGAGTTATTCTGAAAGTTATTCTGAAAGTTATTACTGAAAAGGTTGATGTTTTGAAGGCATTTTTTCCCTATTACTGAATGGGGGAATTCCAAAGTTTCATTTTGCAATGCAATATCCTCTCAGGCTTTCAAATCGAAGCTTTTTAAGTCCCTTCCAAAGGATTCCCAAACCTGTTGGAGAACTTTAGATGTTGGAGGTTCAACTTGGATTCTCTTGTGACTTCTAAATCCTAATTCCTCATAGACTCAGGAAGACCCAGATAAGGGAATTGGCAAGAAACAAAATTCAGAAATCTGTTTGGCAAGCTGAGCTCCACAGGAAGTTTAATGAATCTAACAACTCTTAAAAATTTTTCTTTTAATTCATCCACATTTCCTATTAGACAGTCTTCAATAATATTTTCAAATCTATGTTCCTAACCTCAGAATCTATAAATATTAACTTCACTAATGAGGAAACAGTCACAAACTATTTTAGGGACTGAATATTTAATGGGAATTTTGAAATTACTCCTCTTCATCTGAATTTTAATACCAGGGAAAATATATTAAACTGTATATTGATAAGGGAACAGTATCAGAAACTGGAATATCAGTCAGAATTTTCTTATAGACATTCACAGTGTGAAACTTTGCTAGTGTTCTTCTTCACAATATATATGACAATTTTTACAAAACATTCCCTGACCTAGTAATATATATTGAAAGACATAGAAATGACATGATTTGAAAAGATAGCATTTCTTTTCACCTTATCTTTCCAGTTGTGTACTTCTTAGCTCTTGAAAGCTCTAATGCCAGAACAGTGAAATCAAAGAAAACAAGATAGTATGATGACCTTTCAATTGTACCGGATAGGTTCATGTCCCAGTAAAGAGTAATCTGATAGGGGAATGGTGCCCTCTTCAGGGCTGTCTGGCTTAGTTCATCCCACACTGATACGAGATGTCTTTATGAGCTATGTTCAATATTAGAAGTGCATGGAAGAGAGCATAAGGAACCCTCTTTCTGCCTTTTTTTGTGCAGGGGTAGTCATTGTGTCTTTGGGAGCTACTAGGATTTTCTCAATGTATTTGTTGTTCAGAATTAGTCTCTAGCTCCTGTGACTAAGCCACTATCCATAGCTATTTAGAGATTTATGAGGAGGAGTTTAAGCTTGTAACATGAGCTGTTTTGGTTGAAAACTGAAACCACGCATTTGGTTTGATTGAATGGAATTTGTGTTCCAATGCAGGTGATGATTTTCTTTTTACATCTATATTTAGTGTGTTCAGAGCTTTACAGCAAGATGTTATGCAGTACCTCTCTAGCAAGTCGCAAGCAATCTCATTTTGAAGTTATGCTGTGCAGTGAAGAACTAACTTAATAACAGGTATTCTACTTCTCCTCTGTATTACAGGTGCTGCTTTGCCACCACTGAAACTAGGGCATTCAGTCTGTGCCATGAAAGCAGATGAAGGCCCATGCAAAGCAATCCATGTGCGCTATTACTTCAATATTCAAAGCCATGAGTGTGAAATGTTTGAATATGGTGGATGCCATGGCAATGAGAACAACTTTCTATCACTGGAAGAATGTCAGCAGAAGTGTGTGGTAACAGGCCAGTACCAATTCTTTTATCTTCCTATCAGTTCTTCATTTGCATCTGTTCTTTCTCATCCACAAACCATATGAATTTTGGAAGTAGAGGCCCTCTTCAGTTCCTATTAATACAGTAAAGTGATGCCTCTGTGTTCCCAAGTATTATGCTATGTTGTATTCATCTGAATTATTTCACCTTGTGCAAGCAAACATTTGGGATTTGGAAAGATAAGTGTGACTATTTTTAGCGGACCTGCGGAATAGAATCCAATGCAACAAAGCTTATTTTCTAGCTAGAGCCCTGTTTTGAAGGAGTTCTGAAAGTGAAATTGATTTTGAGGCTGGGCTAAGCTGGTGGGCAGCACAGATGTTCTTAATTGCTTTCAGAGTATCTAGCCCAATTTTTTAATTCCAGGTTTCTCCTTCACTTGAGAAGCTGATAGAAGCTGTCCAAAATTTTGGACGTGTGCTATGATTGAGCATATTTAGAACTACAGTAGTAAATAATTCTCATTAAAAATGTCAGTTACAGCTGTTTGTCTTAAAAGAACTATTTTGTTGAAACCTCATGAATTAGTCATTAGAAAGAGGAAAATGAGATCCAATATGAATCACAGCAGAATATGCAGCAACTGCCTTGTGAATGCTGGTTTTGCTATTAAAAATGATCCTTGTAATTAACTAAGGCTTTCAGCCTTGTGAAAGTAACCACCTCCTGTTCCTCACAGGAGTGTATGAAAGTTAGAAGATTCTTAAAACTGGAAGTTAATGCCAGTGGAGCTAAAAATGTGACAAGTTCGTATTTTTAGAGACTGAAAGAATTGAAGTCTTATTGAGAGTTTCCTCTGGATACCTAATATGGATCTTGCTTCCATGGCAATTAGATGGAATCTGTGTGCCTGTGTACACAGGAAGTGATAGTGAGGGAGGTACTGAGGGGGGACAATAGAAATAAAATTCCAGAATAAAGAACTCCTCAAAGGTGTGTGATAACCCTCAGATAGTATACCAACTATGTGGGGGTTTTTTCCCAAATGAATTCATATATTGGATGTTCATTTATTTAGACTTTGAGGTAGACTAGGATTCATTCTCAATAGAAGGTACTTTTCAGTCATGTATGTCTTGCCCAGTAGCTAAATATGTCATTAAGTGTTACTGAGCTCAAGACAGCGATGCTGGACAATCCTGCAGTAGAGAACAGTTTCCAGGTTATTCTGAGGATGGGCAACACAATCAGATGAAAATTGTTAATCTCTCCTGCCTGTTAGAGATGTACCCTGATAGTAACCTACTGCTACGTAGATCCTGGTAGAGGTCACTTTGTTTGTCCAATTGTCATAATTTATTCTAGCCCTGAGCCTTTCCATAAAAGTTAGGCACTGAATTGGTTTGCAGGATATAAATTTGTACTTTCTAGGATTAGCATAGGTCACTTTCAAGCACAGCAAGTTTACATATGCCACAAAAAATACTTCCAGAAATTTCAGATTAGAAAATTGATTTCTGAAGCTCTTTTATGGGTTTTCTGACTCAAACAGACTATATACATGACAGGCTGATTTATAGCATCATGCTTTGTCTGTAATAAATGTAAATGTCTCTGTTACCCATCTCCCATCCCTTCCAGAATTCACATCTATGTAGTATTTAGATCAGGCCTTAAATCTGTTACGTTGTCTGTTTCACAACACATCTGTATTTCCTGATAAAAGTTACTATGAATTGTGTCATTAAATTTATTCTAGACATCGAAGTAAGTATCTGTCTCCCATTCCGTTGTCAGAGTAATGGCTGGGGCTGATGTGCACATTATCCTAAGTAATATTTTAATAATGTTTGCTAGTTATAATGCTTCTAATCCTCAGAATCTGCAAACATTACCTGATCATACCGCTAAGCTAGGTACTGTAAATAAGCAATTTATTATCTTCCCTTTTATCAACAGAAGAAGAAAGGTGGTAAGGTAACAGAAAAAGAAGTGGTCCACAGACTGTTAAAACCAGAGTAGGGAGTGCCGCTCAGGGTGTCTGTTATTTACTTGACTAGTAGGTATATCTTCTGTGGGATCTCTATAGTCTTGATACTATGTTATATAGTCTTAATACCTGTTTACACTTCCACAAGGTTGATCAAGTTTTTCAAATATTTACAGGTGTTTAAAATGAAAGGAAAAATTACTAAAAAGTTTTTGCAGGTTCTGTGTTTTTTTATACTACTTTTCAGCTACCTGTGTAGGTAGCTGATGTGTCCTCGCAGGTGTGTTTATGTAATAGAACAGCTTGTTTGAATACAAACCAATTTAAGAGCAACACACATCATTGTCCAGCATAGGCTTTGCAAATTTCTCCAGTCTGTAATTCAGTTCTTTGACTCAGACTTTTCTCCCTCTGTATCCTGTCTAGCCACAGCAAGGGAAAGAATAAGTGAGTATATATGTTTATTATACATTTTTAGTGTGACAATTTCCAATGTTTTTTACGATTTACAGAGTAAAGCAAGGTTGCTTTCTTACCTACACAAAGTGAGCCAGAGTAGTGTGGCTGAGTGGAACAAGGCCTCCAATGGGTCATACGTATAAACAATAGCAGAATGTAACCTGAATTGTTGTACGTGAGCACAAAGTCTCACTGGTTAGAAAATAGTGGAAGAACAGCTAACAGAGGAAAAGCCATGCTTCCTAAAAGGTATCTCTGGTCTTGATCTCTCTGATCTTTCCAGCGAGGAGACTGTATGCACTAAATAGTAAGTCAAGGCATTATTTACCATTCACACCTGCTTTCTGATCTGCTAGCACCACCACACATTCCTGTTATTGTACCTGGTACTGCAGACAATGCACTCAAAAGAAATACAAAAGAAAAAAAAGAATAAATACAAATACGAACCTTAAATTTTAGAATGAAAGCAGATTTCAGTTATTTTTGTAATCAATTATGTTTTGCTTTCAAGCAATTGCGTGCTTATAAAACTGTCTCTGTCAGGATGGAAAAAACACTACGAAATTTCACTGGCAATTTGTCAAAGCCTCAGAGACCAGATGTGCTCCAGGAAAGAAGTGGCAAGAATCAGTCACAATCTTCTTCTGGTTTCAGGAGCCCTATATGGGTAAACATAATGCTGATGATATTAAAATAAGATATATCTTGAAATGACATCCCATTGAGGAAAAATTATATGGAAATCATCATTCCTTAGTTACTAAATAACATAATCTACCATTTTAAGTTTAAAAAAAAAAAAAAAAAGACAGAGAAAACGGCATCTTCCTGAATCTAGACATCTTGTCCTAAATGCCAGCACACATAAAGTCCATGAAACTCTGTCCTACTTGGATCTGAAATGTGCCTTAAGCCAACTCTTACTGAACTGGCTGAGAAGGGAAAGAACCTTTACATGAGTGATTCAGTTTCTTTTCATGCGGAAGTCTCAGATACTACTATAAGTGCAGATTATTATTCAGGTGCTCACATACTTGTATTTGTTTCTTTAGCAATCAGTAAGGATTGTTTACAATATTGTTCATTCTCCAAACTATACTGTTTGTTTCTTGGATTCTTCATACCTGAGTAAAAAAAATAGATACAAAAATAAGATAGAATTCAAGTAATGTGTTTTTAAATCTTCATAAGAAACTACTGGATAGGAGCAGATGACAGTTCTCGGCAAAAAATCAAACAGAGCAGAAATTCATTACAGGTAAATGGAAGATCAGGGCTGTGCTTAACCAGTATACAAAACTAAAATGAAAATGACATTTTTCTCCTTTTCTACCTCTGTTGTTTTGTTCTTACATTTCTACAAATAGTCCTATCAAAAGTTCTAGCTATTCATCCTGTTTGGGAACTGAGCCCTACAATATTTAAGGAGAGCAAATAGCCTTGTGCTGGTTATAGCACAGCTTATAACCGGTAACAGAAGTTCAGATTTCTTGTACCAAGGCTGAAGTGATAATTTTGGTATCTCTATATCTGGATCATTTTCTCCAACCAGAATATGCCAGTTTTACTGCTTGTTAGTAGAGAAGGCAGGGACATAATGCTTAAGGCTTAAAAGACAGGAGTTGGTCTTGCTTCCAATTTGGGCTGAAGGTTGCCACCCACCAAAATGGGTGCAAAAGAGTTACATTTAGTGGTCAGTAATCATCACCCCCTTAAAGGTTTATGACTAAATAAACTGATTTCCTTCCTCTATTTAACCCAGCCTAGCAGATTTTAGAGTATTAATATCACTTTTCTGTATGGTTATCTTGAAAATGTATCTCTCTGAGAATTGAATGATGATATTTTTGTGAGCATTCAAGACAGATTAATATAATTTTAAGGTGGTAAAAATTATTCAAATTGCAGCATTAATACTTTGTGTAGTAAATTGTCTGTTTACCTGACAAATGGCCTTTCTAGACTTAAAATTCTTCCTTTGTCACACGGCTTCCATGAGTCATAAGTTTGTATCATGGATTTAACTGATTCCCCCACCCGCCCTCGCCTCCCCGCCATGGATAACCAGCTTAAAAGTTTCTTCCCATACTTATTAAATTTTCATCACAGAAATTAATGAAACTTGCTGCTGAACTCCACAGTTAATACAGACATATAAGTTTAAAAAAAAGAATGTTGGCAATGTCATTCTAAGAGAACAACTGTCCTTAGAAGGCATTTTCTTAACTTCTACAGTGTTTTGTTTAGAAAATTGTGATTAATCTGTTTCTAGTTATGGCTCCACAAAGTTTAATGAATACAATCTTTCAAGATAAAAAATGGAAAGTTATTCTTCTTGATTAGCATTCAGTGTCAGAAAGACCTGGGATCTAGGATGTGAAGATAGCTCTTTTTCTGTCACCAGGCTGGCTTTTGGTACTTTACATCTGGTACCTGGTTTTGGGTTTCAGCTGGACCCCATTTTTGCCATGCTTGGAGCAGGGTCATTTGCAGGACTGCAGCTGCCCGTATCTCATCCAATACATGCGACTTCATGGTAATTTGTAGTGTTTGTCCTAAATTCCAGTTTAAAGGCAAAGCCAGAGGGCTAAACTGAAAAAGGCAGGGTTGATAGATACAGAATTTGGAATTAAAAGTGTCCAAAAGTCACTATCAGGTCCCATTAGTGAAGATCTGTAAAATTATTTCTTCAATCTAATATTGCTATTTTGACCAATATTGTTATTTTCATTCTGACATATGTGTTGGATCAATATCTGGAACAGATCTTCTGGACCAAATCCTGTGCTGGCATATAATTGGCATAGCTCCATTGAATAAAACTGAAAGTTATTTAAAATGAGAACTGGCTTAGTGTCGACATCTTGGTACTCAGCCCAAGTACAGTATTTGGTGTATGCGTAAGAGTGATCCAAGAGTCCACCAGTGTTGAATCTGCTATGAGGAACTGGAGCAATAAAGGCTCATTATTTCTGTATTCTCTGAATGAATAACAGCAGATAGAATTGTTTGGTGGCACACACAGTACTCTGTTGATCATCAGCCATAAAATAAACTAAGTTAACCCATTTTCATCAACATAATTCAGTAAAAACAAATATAATTCAGTATGTTCTATTTGTTAAATCTGGCTCTGTCTGTGCAGTCTTGTCGTATATGGTTATATTCATCTTAATGTTTCCGGTGTTTATTACCCCAGGAAAATCACAAGTAACTGCAGAAATCAGACTGAAAAGACAGTATGAGTGATAGAAGAATGCTTAAAAATAAAGCAGAATCTAAGAGATACTCAGATAATCATCACTGTGTAAAATGTGAAGATCAAAAATAAGCTAAAGGGAAATTGTGCAATATATATATACAAATTCAGAAGAAATAATGTGAATAGTCAAAGTGTCTGATTTTTTTAATGTTAAGTACAAATACAAGAATAAATGAGCCAACATGAGTGAATTACCAGCCTCCTTAAATTACAACAACTTTTTAAAATTTTTAAATGAATAAGCCATCAAAGACAGAAATGAATAATTCCCAGAACTGACTGAAGTCAGTACAGAGCGCCGAACTACAGGTTGGCCACTCCAAGACTCTCTAAGAGTGTTCATATTCAAGATGCCTAGTTCTGACTTGAGTGTCCTAGAAATCAGCTGCATTTTTTGCTTCATGGGCCCAATGCTTGCCACTTCAGGTTTCTTTCAGGAAAGAAAAAATTACTTTTAAGAGGAGCTTGCCTATATGCTCCATTGTTTACTGGATATGAGTAGAATCACAAATGTCATCACTAGCGCAAAGGTCCTAATTTTCAAGGCAGAGAATATATACCTTAGGCTACTTAAGCTTCTAACATGGGAAAATGTCTGCTGATAAAAGGTTCTGGACATGACAGCAATTCTAATGTCTATTATTTACACAGCAGATCTACTCAGAAATACAGTTTGTTTACAAAGAAGAAATTAACTCAGCTGTGGATTTGGCTTTGTGACTGAAACCAGAAGCAAAAAGACACTGTTGACATGGTAGTAAGATTAAGACATTCTACTCGTGTATAAACTCACAATAAATCTTCTTGTTCTGTGCCAGAAGAGTAGAGATCATATGCCAAAGTAGGATTGCTGATTTTGGCCTGAAGGGAACAGCTGAGTGAAATTAGTGAAATGGCCTGATGTGAGTGTCCATGGTTTAGGGCATGGGTTTAAAAGCTGAAGGCACAGCCTCCTACTAATAGGAAGCCCTGGGAAGATGTTTAGACAAATGCTATGTCACTCTAAAGTGCATGTCATGTCTTCAAATAATATTTTTTTAAGGACGCCAGCTGCGTTGTCCAAGAGATGGAAGGAAAATGTATTATGACAGAATTTCTACCTGATAGATTACTTTGAAAATATAGCACAGGCCATGTTTCCAGAAGAAAAAGAAAAAAAAAAACCTGTGGTAGGATTATGGCGCACAAGGGCAGTACAGCTAATGCTAAAACTTATTAGTCATCAGCAGTGCCTCTTAAAATAGGAACCACGGAAGGTATATCACTATATAAAAGATGGTTAGAAACACTTGCTGTGGAATATGAGTGGAGAATTAACTGCTAATATTCCTTTCAATTTTGGACTGTGAAGAGATTGTTATAAATACTGGGGGGGAACAACACCTTTATTATAATTGCAAATTACAGAAAAGGTGAGGATGGCTCAAGTATCTACTGTTACTGCTTCCATAACAAGGAAGGATACAGCAGCAACTTTGTTTTCCAGCAGAAGGTGTTGCTAGTAGGTACCTCCAAGCTGAGAAAAATATTCTTGTATCCTCCACCCTCGCCTGCTGGGCAGAGCAACTCTCACACACAAAGTCACAGAGAGGCTGAAATTATGTCCTTTGGGTGTATGACTTAGAGGCCGTCTGGGAAACACAGCACGAGAGGCTAATGCATGTGATTTAAATTAAAATTAAAATCTATACTTCCCTTTGAATTCCCTTTCATTTCATGTTTCAAACAAAGGTAGACCATGGGTTACACTGAGGCTTTCTGAGCAGGTTTCTGGAAGATGTGTATCCACTGAAGCAGGAAGAGCCATCAGCAGTAGAAAGTAGTTGTAATATGCTTCTGCTACTGAGCTGCTACTCTTGGCATGTACTATAGGGAATTGGTGTCTCCTTAAAGGGGGCTGTGGTAGTTAAGTAAGATGGCAAGGGTCAGGCAAAGGTATTGCTTCATTATAGTATGTTTGACTGCCTGACAGTAAAATGCAAAATAAAATTGCATTTGTTTTTCAGCAGACAACTTCAAGCAAAGCGTTAGCTGTACCACTCTATCCCTTCTGTCAGATGCAGGAGGTCAGTAGACAAAGGAGAGTTTTGGAGAAACTAGCATTTTATAATGCCATTAAGAAAAGCACAAGTGCAAAACAAGAATTCTGAAGCAATGTAATTAAGATGACTTAGGTGAAGTCTGGAAGCTACTATTTCATGTGTCTTGCAAAATATCTCTGTAATAGAAAATATTTAAGCTATGCCTGGCCGCTTTTCTTTCAGCTGCTGAAAAATTTTCAGCCTTTATTGCACATTGACTGAGCTGTTCTCCCCTTGGTCTCCTTTGTAGTTTTAGGATTAGGCAGTCTCGTCTCCTAGAAGGGGAAGAAGGTTTGTTTTCAATCGCTGAAAAGGAATGTGGGGTTCAATTCCGATATCCAGCTGCTTGAGCAAGTACAATAAAAGCCAAGCTCCTCCTTTAGAAATGACAATAGCAACTTCTTCACTGCTGATCAGACACTAAAAGAACAGTGCAAACAAGTTTGTCCTCTATACTGCTCTAAAGATAGTTGGAGATACTTTGCTGAATGGCCTTTAATATCATAAACAGCATAATGAATGCTTTACTCAGACACCACATAGCATAGTAAAGGGAGTTAGATAGCATGAGAGAAATCTTTATTGCTAACTACATCAGCCCTGAAACTATTAGCAGTATCAGTAGCTACAGCAGTTGGGTTAACTAAGTCTGCTAATTACTCCTCTTTTGAGGAGTAAGATTACATAATATGGGATTCTGATTCCAGTAACATGAAGCGGAATCTCTCTGTTCAATTCAACACTGGCATAATTTGATTCCAGTACTTTCCGTATCCTCAAGTTTCCAATATAGCAGGTCTTCTCACGCAAAGGAAATGATGCTTCAGTCCTCCAGAGCAAGCTTTTGTGCTACTTCTCTAAGAAAGAGAGGAAAGAAGGGGGAAGAGATGCTCCATTCTTCCTTCTCAGTGTTCACAGTCACTGCTAAGTACCCTGGTATCACAGGTGAGAATTAACATGTGTGCTTTTGCTAAATACTTTTCTTTTTGTTTATATTGCAGAATTGCCTCTGAAGATGATGTTAGCAAAAATTAAGAAAGGTAATTATGTTTACATAGTAATCTAAGACTCTTATACAACAATTAGCGACTTGGCTTCTTTTGATAAATTCTTTATGTATGGCTCCAAGCTATCTCCTAATAAAAACAAGAATGTCAGACTAAAGTGCATTCTTATTCCCAGTCGTCTTCTGTATTCATCAAAGACTTTGAGGACAGTTGTTGCCACTGAGGATAGTAGCTGCAATCTCTTCTCCCCAAAATAAATACATCACAACACTTTTTTTTCTCTTTCTTCAATAAAGAGAAAAGGACTCAAGCATTATATAATTAGTCATGATGTGGAACTCTTACTGTGTGTTTTGAGAGTAATCTAAATGCTTCCTCCACTGTTAGCAAAAACCGGAAAAAAATCACTCTGAAACAGAAATTTTCAAGCATTGCCTGTGTAGGAGCTAACAGAAGTTAGGGCAGATCCCCTAATTGCTTATTAAGGAAGGGAGCAAGTTTCTTACTCCTGCAAGGGCAGACTGTTTAGAGAAATTTAAATGTCTGGTACTCAGACTTCCTAAGCAGCCAATGCTTAAGCACTGAGAATTGCTTATCTTGAAACACTCTTGATCTATTGAGGTAACCTGTGTTCCTAACAAGGATATTTAAGTTTGGCACTTAGAATAGGGCTTGTGAAGACTTATTCCACCCCACCCTCTCTTTCCTCGTTAGAGACTTACGTGGATTGGGCCCAATGCTGGTAGCCAGAGTTCCCCAAATACAGACTTGAGTAAATTTCTTCACAAGTCAGCTCCTCTTTCTCTGCTTACCCTCCTTCCTTTATCCCTCCTTCCAGTTGCTTCCTCTTGAATTGGTGCGCATTTAACTCCTCACAGAAATACCAATATTTGCACACATGTTTTTGAAATAGACTAATTCATTTATCTTAGCAGAATGGTATTCTGGAATATTTTCATACTGAGATGATGGTTTTCTTTTCCTGTTGTCTACTGTCTTTTCCATTCTTAATGCAGAAAAAAAAAAGTGATTCTATGCTATGGAAGTTACTAAATTTGTTATTGCACAGATGCTGCAGGCATTTGACACTACTTCCTTTAAGGTCTGACCCTGGTACTCTGCTTTTAATGACAAAACAGAACATATCCTGTTAAATTCAGCTCCTGGCTATCATCAACATCATTAGATGTTTACTGTTGTTTCCAGTAATGTAGTCTTGACTGTTGAGTCTCTGGAGAAAGACATGGCATTTAGAAGTATAATACTAGTTTGTATAGTTAGGATTATATTGCCTTCATGACGTCTCTCTTCAAAAGTGGCTATAAAATTTAGCTGTAAGCTCAACTTACTTGGACTTAATTTAGTTTTTCTGGAAGAACCATTTTATAATAAGTATTTTCTAAATGAAGAATAGCTGTTTTTAAGAATCAGTCATAATCCTGTAGTCTACCTTACATATCCTTAGTATTATCTGCCTTTCTCAGTTAATATCTATCTAATAATATTTTCTGTTATTTCACAATATTATGCAATGTTTGATGAAAGAATTTTTTCTGTAACTCCTATTGTCTGTGAGCTCCTAATAGATGATATATGGAATAGATACCACGCTGGTAGATTCTTGCCTGCTACCTTACCTTGTGAAGTTAGTTTTGTAAATCTGTGAATGTCAATGGGCGCTGCATTTGAATAGTAAGTAACATGAAATACCTGTACTGTGGAATACACATACGTACTGGCAGAGAATGCAATTTGTAGTGAAAAATCAAAATTAAGCTATCCAGGAGTGCTTAAAATAGTTGATTTTGTTACTTTATGCAAGAACTTTTTAATGGCTTAATTTTACATGTGATCTCTGAAAATGCCATTTTGCTGTTCATGAAGCTTTATAACACTTCAAATACAAGATATTGACAATTATTTCTTGGAAAAACACTAGTTATGAGCTATCATAATGTTTTATATAAATATATGATGTGCATCGTTTAATATTCTTGTTCTAGCTACTTGGCTAAAATAGATGTAATAGGATTAACTTCTTTACAAGTCCATAATATACTCCAAAAAGTTAGAGACTTCAAAGTAATTGTTCTGTAGTCATTTTTATTAAAATGACAGCCCTCTGCACACTGTTCTAGTCTCAATATCCTATTAACTTTCACAGGTAAGGAAAGTCTTTATATGTCACATCTGATATGATTGTCTTATATGATGGCTAAATACACTTCTGTCTGCAAGTCAGCTCAGTCAAGAATCATGTTTCAAAGTACCTGCTAGCAAGAATTTGAGAATACCTACACATATATTTCATTATTTTTTATATTATTTTCTTTTAAAAATATACTTTTAAGAAAAAATTGAATGTAGTAAGAAATTGACATTTGGGGATTATTGTATGGCTATATGTTTTTCTTCTCTGCCAGAAGGCATGATATCATGCCTTGATACTCAGTCAAATTACACAGTATTCATTTGTTAGCTTTTTCTTGGTTGATATTGTAGTTACTGATTGCAAACTAGGAACTGGGACTGAAAAATGATAGAGTAGCTGCTCTGTCTCCCAGTTTCTTGTATCATTTTATAGCAGCAGACTGTCCCAGACAAAATGCATTGTTAGATTTTTTTTTTGTTCTGGTTTTTTTTTTAATTATTTCCTTTTTCCTTCTATTTTAGCATTACTTTCTGTATAATTCACAATAAAATTGACTGAAACAACTACATAAATGACAAGAATGTATACTTAGAATCAAACAATTTAATTCAGAGTGAAAACGAATTTTCTTCATAGAGCTTCAGTGTAGGAGAACACTTAAAGGAATCATTAGTCCTTATTTTCCAAGATATAATTTCCTGGCTACTTGCAAAGAGGGGGGAAAAGCAATAAAAATGTTGCTATAATGCTCCAGCATAATATTGCAGTGTTATATTAGAACAAAAGCAGTATAATAAAGCAGCAATTATTTTACAGTTGGTCTTTAGTCCAAAGTTACAGGTTTATTTTATAAACTTCCTTCAGTTCTATTGTTGTCTTGGGATATGTATTGGTTTTTGGTGGTGGTTTTCTTTTCTTCCTGCACCCTGTTCATCATTTACCATTGTTCATAGAAAAGCCTGACTTCTGCCTTCATGAGAAAGACCCTGGAATCTGCCGAGGCTATTTTTCCAGGTATTTCTACAACAAAGAGACAAAGAAATGTGAAGTATTCAAGTATGGTGGGTGCCTAGGAAACCAGAACAACTTCAAGAATTTGGAAGAATGCCAGACTACCTGCGAAGACAACTGTAAGTTGTTGTCCTCATTATTCTTAGTTTTATTCTTGTATAAACAATGTTGTGTTTTGAAGGTATCTTGCATGGAAAAAAAAGGCAACTTAGAGTACTCTGAGGTGGCAATAATTTATATCAGAAATTAACATTAATTATATATTTTTAAATAAAAGGACAAAAATGAAAAATATAAACTAAAAAAAAAAAATGGTAGGTACTATTAATTTTAATTAATATCACAGAACTCCTACTTTTTTACTTTTCTCCTGACAGTTAGTTGCCTGCATATATGTTAATTCTACAGCCCCCTGCAAAATATATATCAATTGCAGCTTAGGCTACAAAACAGCTATTCAGACTGACTGAAGATCATTCATCCACTTCCTCATCCTACTAGTTGCTATCAATTGTTCTATATCAAAATACAGTAACCTTCATAACTCCTCTCCCCTTCACAAAGTACTTTATTCATAGGACAAATAAATATTCCCACCCAGAGCCTCAAGACCCTTTCATCTTGCTTGTCTCTAGTGAGCCTTTTTCCAGGACTGTTTCATAATATTATCATTTTGGCATGGAAAACTTGAGCATATTCATGTTTAGAAAAGGAAAGACCCACTATGGTTTGGGTTTTTTTTTTGTTTGGTTGGTTTTTTTGTTTGTTTTTTTTTTTTTTTTTTGAAGATATACACACAGAGTTATGTGCTTTTCCCCCACCTTTGCTGAATCACTTGCAGCCTAAGCTGCACAGCCAAATCATTCAGAAGAGAGGGACAGTTTTCCCTTAATTCTTTGGTAGGAAGCTAGCAACACACAGTAATTTCCACTTTTACCTTCTGGACTAAGAGTTGCAGAATGTGCTTTTTTTTTTTTCTTCCTGACTCCTTGTACGTTTGTATGAATACCCAAGAAGAAAGAGAAGATTAGGGACCATTGCCATGGTTTAAATAGATCAAAGGTTTTACCTCAGCGATACTGAATCATTGATACCAATTGTTTTTTGTGGTTTTTTGTGGGTTTTTGTCATAGTTTTCTTTTTGTTTTTCTTTTAGCAAATTTATTACCAATTGTTCCAGCTGAAGAGCATCCTAACACTGTGAACAGTAGTTCCCCAGAGGAAGAACCCAACCAGTTTCCTCGATTGTTTGGTAAGTGTTTGTTTTTTGCTGTTTATAGTTATCCTTTTTTAATGCAGACACTCCTTGGCTTGTCCACTCATTTTCCTGTTTATTTGAAGATTTGTATGTTGGTTGAAATACATAAGCACAGTGAACTCAGCAACATTAAAACTAGCTTCACAGTCATTTTCTTGTCAGTAATAGATATTTTGAAAAATGCTTACAATTGCAAAGGTTAGAATGTCTGCTAGTAATACAAATATAACCTTACCAAACCATGTTTGTGTAAAATCTTACATCAGTAAAATTAAAGAAGAAAAGGGAATCCATCCCAAAGTTGCCTGAGCACATCAGTGTCCTATGCCTTTGAGACTTAAAAGAAATGCTCCCTTTTAATGGTATTAATACTGGCATGGAGCAAGGCAAATGGGTACCAATCATAGCTTATTTTCAGAGCTTTGCTGGGTCTAGATAACCCGTCACCATTTCAAACCCTTTTTTTTCTTTTTAGTCAATTTGTTGTCAACTGCTCCAAATGAAAAGTCCAACACTTTGAACAGTAGTTCCCCAAAGGAGGAGCGCAACCAGTTTCCCATTTTTTTTGGTAAGAATACACTTTTGCGGTTCTTAGCTCTCAGTCTTTTATCTGCGCTCTGGATTACTTTTCCATTTCCACCCATTTTCCAACATATCTGAGACTGAAGAATGGGCTTCCATCTATGTCAAATGTTTTGATAAGCAGAGAAAGTCAAAGCAAAGAAATATATTGCTGCTTACAGATCTTCTATAAATACCAGAAAGTGAAAGACTGACCACATCTTGTCCTCTTCTGAAAGTGTGCACTTCCTGAAGGTCTGATAAATAAAAAAATTTAAAGACCAAAAGCAATGATGCAGAATTCTTTTAGTCAAAATCAATACTTTTGTGGGGATCTAATTGGCGTCTAACTTAAAGCTCCTTTTATCCTTTAAAAAAGGACCATATTTAGATTTGGGAATATGGCACAATATGTTTATCATAATAAATTTTTATTTTCACCAAGGCCATATTAAACTCAGTTCTTGGTTTGAGTATAATCAAAGTGAGTGTGAATTAATTTTGTGTCTGCTTCATGGTATTTTTACGCTATGTATTACAATGCAGATGACAATCTGAGCCATTACAGTAGAGGGAGGGCTAGGTTTTAACAGTTTCTACAGCTGGAGGCTGTCCACTATAGATTGCTGGTACTTGCTCACTTTGTAAAGGCTGATTGAATTTGAGGCATGTCATTTTTATGATCCACAGTTATGCAAGAGGAAACAAGAAACAGTTGGAAAAAGCCTGAGCATTCTTACCAAGTATTTCTGTTGTTTTTTTTTGCGTTTACACTTACTTTTGGGGATTGAGTGATGGCTTACAAATTCTTTAAGGTTTATGTGTTTAATATGATTTGCAAGATAATGGGCATGTAAGATAGCATTCTTGTGCTCATTCCTTAGAATATGTCTAATAAAGCTTGAATGTGTGTTGTATTCTACTTTGGTGGTTTTTTGGGGGTTTTTTTGCCTGCACTGTGATCCACATGCACTGTTGGGTTGAGGTAAGTTTCAGTGATAGCTAGATTGTTTGCTTACCACATACAAGGCATCAATGCACTCTGTTATTAAAATGACTGAATATAAAACACTAAAACTTTTGGCAACTTATTTCACTGAAAAATATTTAAATGCTTTAAGGTAATGGTAATAAGTCTAGGGACATAAGAGCGTACATGTTCCCTGAAGGTTTTTACTGACAATATGAATCCTCAAATCCCCAAAACAACTAATCTACAAGTAAAGGGGCATGATTGACTGTTTTCTCAGAGGAGATAGAAAGGTTCTTGGTAGTGTCAGCAATAGTGAATTTTCTGGTAGAGCAGATTTTGGGAGGGAGAGGTGAGGGTAAGAGAAAGAGAAGACTTGAAAGTCGATGGAAGAAAGGCTCAGGGAACAAGGGTGAGTGGAGTCAGTGTAGCTGGATGGGTCAGGTAATAAACGTGACCTTGGAAAGACCAATGTGTTTCAGTGGAAAGTCTGAAGACCCCACAGGTTCTTCCCTACTATATAATTTGTGTCTGTCTTGCACTAGCCCACCCCATGCAGCCACCTGCTGCCATTCTGTTTATCAGTCTGTACCTTTCAGGCTGCTGGGAAGGGCTAAAATCTTGTGCTTTGTGCAATCCCACTATGGGAGGAGGTACATCTATTTTGCTGTATATTGGCCTGGCCAATATATATCATCTACAATATATATCATCAATATGTATCATCTTCTTTTTAAATACATGACCACCATTAAAAAAAAAAAAAATTGGCAAGGAGTTATCTTTTATAGAATACCTTACCTCAAAATTGAAATGCTATTTCAACTTGATTTCAAGAAAAAATACATATTATTGGTGGTATGTATAACTCTGTAATCATATCAGATGAATAGATTTTCAACAAAGATCTTTCTCTTCAGAAAATTAAACTCTTTTATGGCCAAACGAAACAAGCTGCTGCTTTTTTTCTGCACATAAACATGAAACTTCCAGTGCTATCTCTCAGCAATGAACTTTCTGTGGAGTGTGAAGATTGTTCTGGTCTTACTTTGCTGCAAGATCCAAGATAACTGTTATTCTGGGAAAGTTAAGAGAAAGTGAAGCCAAGAATCAAAACTTTCATTTTTAGATTATATGAAGTGATCTATAGCAGGAAATTACGAGTGCTATACTCTACACTTGATTTGTGAGATATAAGTGGGATGCAGGATCAAAAGTCAATTTTCAACTCAGCAAATATGGAATGGCACACAGAGGCAGTTCCTGTCATTACTTCTCAAAGTCGGGGCCATATCTTTTGCTGATATAAACTGACATAGTTCTCTTCGCTATAATGGATCTGCACCAATTTATACCTATAGAGTACTGTCAAGTGCAGATGACTCATTATTTTTGTAATAGCTTGGCTACTTGAAGATTCTTTTATTTTCTCTTTGCTGCAACCAGAAATGAGATGCTGAAGTCTGCATATATCAAAAATCTGGCAATGAATCTGAAGCTTCATGAATGTCACACACCCACATCTAGCTAAAGAAAACGCAGTAGGCATTGTTTCTCATCCAGCTCACCAGGATCATTTCAAACTTCTTTAGTCCTGTGATCAATTAAGATTTCATTGTCACACAACCCCAGCTAAGCCTGAGGGATAGCGATTATTGTTGCAATGCAAGGCTGGGATTATTTTTGATAAATATGAGTGTATATCTGAATATGCATGTTTCAGAATTCCGAAGTATGATCATGTCATCGTTCACACCACAGAGAGGGGTGCCTGGGATTCAAGAAAAGTCTGTATTATAAGAGTTAAATCTTAAACCATCCACATTTGAAAATTGTTTAGGCAGCATTAGTTAGATTGTTTAGCTTCACATTTCCATTTATGCATTCAGATCTCTGCTATCTCAATTCTGATGCTACTTGAAGGAAAACGGTGCTTCTTGAGGTCCCTCATAACTGATCATGTAATGGCTCCCATTCAGTTTCGTGCGTCTTGTGCAGCAATTGTGTGAGTTCTGATTTTTGTATCTGAGTCACTCCAGGGTGACAGATGATGGAGTTTCTCCAGGTTTGGGAGTTCTGGCATGGATTTGCTTCTTGAACTTGGTCCAGTGCCCAGGTACTTTGGACACCTCAGGTTCATCTTCCAGTGTTTCAGTTCTCACACTCTCACTTGCAGTGACACAGAAGAAACAAACCGTCAGCCTACTCCTTGGAATGGTAAAAACCTAACAGCAGCACTAAAGCACCAGCATGTCAGTCGCTTTGTGCACTTATTCTTCACGTATAATCCTTTGTTATTCTGCAAGTTACAAGCTATTTCTTGATAATTGCTCAGTATTTTCCAGTAGACCAACTTCTATTACTTAGGTCAAGCTTTCTGTATTCATATGACAAAACCAATACTAAGGTATTGAATCTTACATTAGAATCATACATTGGAAATGCTGGATACTTTTATATTTGATTTCAGAATGTCTAGCAGTAATTAGGAAAATTCACTTCATTAATTATCATAAATATTTACCATATTTTTTAAAGCTGTCCAAGTTTAATTTATTTCACTTTCTGCAAATACTTGAAACTTCTCTTATTGAATTTGAATACTATCTCCTATCACAGAAATGGTAATTTTATCACTAAATACATAGGAAACAAACCTTGCTTTCAGGTAAGCTTTTGCTGGCTTTTGGAATTCAAAGACAGAATAACACTTGCTGTAGTATTTTTTGTAATCATAAAAAGATGCTTATGTAAAGTTGTATTGTATTTTCAGGAGTTAAATTTGCCAGTAAATTTCATATAAATTTCAATGTTCTGTAAGCTTCAAATCTCATGTAAAATATCAACATAACAGAAAACTGGTAAACTGCAGTGTTGTCTCTAACCTTGGTTTTCTTGGTGTTTCTAGAACCACCCCCTATCCCTTCTTTGTGCATGACCCCTATGGACAGAGGACTTTGTAGAGCCAAAGAGTTAAGATTTTTCTACAACTACTCAACTGGAAGATGTCGCCCATTTAGCTACAGTGGTTGTGGTGGGAATGAAAATAATTTCACCTCCAGAAAGTCATGTTTGAGGATCTGCAACAAAGGTATGGGAAGTGACATTGCCACAGATTATCATAAGAGGTAAATATTATGCAGGCTGAAACATTCTTGCAACTTTTGGTAGTAAGCATTGACCTGATAAAATGTAATAGTTGAAAGTCTTAGAAAAGTGAAAATGGAAATTGGAAGAGAGACAGAGCTAGAGACAGAAAGATGGACAGTAAAATACAGTGTACAAGAACAGAAATAAGACAACGTGGCATTGGTCAGGCATATGGAGACTTTAGGTAAGACAATGTTCTTTTTTCTTTTTTAAAGAATATTTCTTGAAAACAAGACCTGTCTCATTTCTGATAATCTCGGGTGTGTTAGTCATACAGCATCTAATCTTACTTTCTTCATTTTATCTTTAGGATTCAATAAAAAAAAAGGCGAAAGACGACTAATAAAAATCAAAAAGAAACGAAAAAAACAGTCGGTAAAGGCTCTGGGCAAGGAAATCATCCCTGAAAGAATACAACTTTGACTTTTATGGAAATGTGAAGTAATCTACTTATTCACCTGTGAACGAAAGCTTTTAGCGTACACCATTTAAATATATGTACTGTACTGATTATTTTGATTACATATTATTATGCTGCTTATTTTTATTATGTATTCTTCATTCATGTTAATAAACATTACCCTTTACTTTGATAAAGGCTCTTAAATTGTAGTTTAATTGTATATAATTGTCAAAGCTGAAACAGGACAGAACAGACTGTGTGGGTGTATAACTCATAATGATTAAAAAGTAGACAAGATTCAAATTTACTTTATTACCCTATTATTCTTTTTTAAAATCTATTTTTGTGCTAAAGAAAGCATAATGCTTGTCAAAAAGTAATCACTTGTCAAGCATGATTGTTTCAATCATAGATTAAAAGATAAGTCTGTTGCCATAAAGAGGAAATTGACACTGGGTTTGTTTTAATCAGATTTATTTTAGGTTATGCAAGCTAGATTTAACTCCATCAAAGTGTGTATAATTACACTATTGTAAAATGAATGTGAGATCAGAATTAACCCACCAAAAACCACAGAGAGAGTGTTAAAGTTATAAATGCGTGAAGCAGTGTGACAGATATTTGCAAAGATTTAAAAATATACTTGCTGGGACCATTGATTTTTAACCTTGTTACTGAACTAATTAATAATTTCCAGAAATACATTTTAAATTTTACAGGACCTGGAACAAATTTCTTTCATAGAAATAAATACAGTTGCTTTAGAAATAACACTGTACTTACTCTCCAGTTGGCTTTGAATGGTTTTTTAATTGGGTTTTGATGGGTTTTTTTTAAGACTGACATGAAACAGTGGTACAGTTCCTGTCCTTCTCCAAGGCACCTCTCTGATCTTCATTAAATCTTTTATGATAAGATTTTTTTAAAGGAAAGGGGGAAAAAAAAGAAAAAGTAGTTGGTTTCCTGTTAAAGTTTTTAGAAAAACCTTACTGCCTGTGAAACAAAAGATAGCAGGATATTTTTGAAACTCTTCCTTATCTTCTTTGATGATGTAATTTTTTTTTTTTGTATCAGATGTTTTCTCTTTATGTTTAAAACTACTGAGGATAGTTACACTGCTGTTTGTGAGACGTGGTGTGGAAAGAAGTATCTGAAATACATCTGAAGGTCTCAGTCACTACAGCAAGGAGCAAGGACAGCAATGACAAGACAGATAATAAATGATCTGTTGGAGTGAGCTGCCTTTGCCTGTGCACTATGAATCACAAGTGCGATTTCAGAAAACCTATGTTTTACATGCCTGATGAACTTTGGACTTACTCTACAAAGAGGCTAAGCATTACTGCTGAAAATGAAAGTATTTATGCATTCTAAATACCTGCTTGAGGGGGTAAGTAAAAATCACAGGTTTTTATACAGAAATTCTATCCAAATCTCCTTTCTGGTGCCTAAGTCCTTTCATGACTCTCTTACTCTAGAGTCTACTAAGTCTAATTTGAAAAATGCTCATGAAACTGAAATGTACACTAGAAAATATTTATGTAGAGTCTTGTCATACAAAATATATGAGAACCACAGACTTACAATGCAATAACCATATAAATCAGACAAGTGCAGTTCTGACTGGAAACTATAAACTCCATAGACTGCTGAAAACTAGTAACATCAGTTCTCTACACAGAATTAGTTTGGTGTGTCGTTACCTGCCAGTTTCAGTTTGATATCTTCCCATTCTAGTTGATCATTTTTATTGACTTTACTCTCCTTAATCTCATCTGTACTCCATGCACTAGGAGTTGAGTTTGTAGATGTGAGTTGCACTGCACAGGAGCAGAGCAGGAGGTTGAATACTTGGACCAGCTGGATTTTGTCGTTGCAGACAAGTGCAGATCCCATGGTTTAAAATTCTCCCAGGCCTTTCCGCTTGTAGCGTAGCAGCTGCCGTAGCACAGCAGGGTACATGGCCTCTGAAAGCAAGAGTTGCTTTGGGCACACTAGGAATGGGAGAGGCAGGACTTTCCAGTGTGCTGAACACCCCACTAATGCCACAGTTACCCTGCTTTTTACACTGATGCTGGCTTGTGTCTGCCTGGCTAGGAATGCAGGTTAGTGCACAGATGTCTGCACCTTTTCTCGTATAAATTTGATAATGAAGGCAGTAAAAATATCTAATCTTCCATTCTTAGTAATAATAATTTCCCGTGTACTGCAGTATTAAAACTTAGGGAATTTCTAGATTGTGTGATGTGCCTTGTAGTAGAGACAGAGCTGAGCTATGTGCCACTCGGTGTCTCCAGCAGTTCAGTGACTCAGTAAGGACAGTTTGAGTCTATGGTTTCAGATTAAAGCAGAAAACATTGTCTGAGTAACATACGTGTAACAGCTGCCTTCTGTCACTGTTGTCTGCCAGAGAGGCAGTACTATGCTATACACCATGTTCAAATCACTTTACAAAGAAACGTGGTATTGTCTAGCATGATTCTGAGGTATTTGACCAGGATTCACATTAAACAAAAACATCTTTTAGAGCTTTTGTGTAAAAGAGAATGAAACTCATTCTTTAGCAGTAGGAGTGCAATGTTCAGGTAACTCTAGTATTTATATGAATCTGTGTTACTGGTGACAGTGTTTCTTTAAGGAGAGTTTTTCTTCAGCATCAAGCCCAAATAAAGGTGATGGGGACAGAGCTGTCCCTGAGGTGCTGTCCTCTGCTCAGCTGTGACACCAGCTCTAAACCTGGTGGTTTTCAGTTGTGATAGGACTCTGATCGGAGCCTTGCAGGGATTGGGAGGAAGGGGAAGGGGTTTGCTCATGGTATTTCTTAAAGCAGTCCCACCAAGAACACTAACAAGGATTTGTAAACTCTCTAAGTTTTATGAGATCATAAAGTAGAATGATGAATTTTTCTAAACCAGAATATTCCCAATGAGACAATAGGTATAAAAGATAGATAGGAAAGAATAGATGCATTTGTTTGTACACAGATTGCCTTGTGATCCCTGTGTCATTTCATGGCAGTATCTGTGCTTCAGGCTCCCTCTTGGTCCAGCAACTTTTCCCTGGCTGGACTGGATTCAACACCTACAAAATCCACGCTGGAAGTCTAAGAAAAATCATCCTTTCAGTCCCTGTAGAAACCCGGCTGCGTAGCTGCTCCTCATTCTTCTAAGTCTCCTGCTTGCTGAGCTCTCCTGGAAACTAGCAGGGTGTCCTCAGCAAGTGTGCTTAGTTGCTTCCCAGGACTGTGCAGTCTTCTCTCCTTCCAGAACAGCTGTAGGACAGGACAGGTAGTCCCCCATAGTCTCCCACCCCATACTTACACTATACTAAAGAAACTTCTTGTGCATTCATTTTGTAGTAACGGTGATTAAACAAGTGATCCATTGAGGGATCTCTTACATCATTGTTGAGATAAAAAAAAACTTTATAGTTATAGCATCTCAATAGTACCTCTGTTTCAGTTGGCAAAGAAAACATTACAAAGTGATTCATCTTTTAGGCTCGTTACTTAGTGCAATGAGAATGGAGACTGGAATGTTGTAGACTGTATAAAAACTGATCTGATTATAATCAGGGAATTAATATGAGAGTGCATGGTCTTCTTGGTGTGTGTACTTGGTTTGGCCACCGTACCAGTTATCCAGCTGTCTTCCTATCTTGTTTTTGTATAGCTCTACAGCTCATTGAATTAGTTTTTCCAAACAGCAGTGTGATCCAATCTTCATCAGCTCCCCAAGAAGTTTCTTTTGTGCCCTTCTTCATTCACTTATTTTCATTCCTGTATCTTCAATATCCGCAGAACGACCAAACACAAGAATAAGAAGAAAGGTCTATGCATTTCTCAAAGGTAATTAAAGGGTGAATGTAGAAAAGGGGATAATCAAGCCACAACACAGGGAAAAGATAGGAAATCAGATGGCTGACTAGTGCAGAGGTCAGAAAATTAAGCTCGGTATGCGAAGGTGTCACAGTGGCTGTACATTTCCAATTAACTAGAGACAATTCATCCAGTCATTTCATTCCAGAACCTGCCCTGGTTGCTTTGGAGGAAATATGCAGGGTGCTGTGAAAGTTCTCCCATTTTGTGTGATGGGAGCCAACAAGCTGAAGCAATTTTACAGAGGTTTGATGCGTTTCCATTTGTTATCTGACCTGCAATAAATTGGTACATGCCCTTAGTCCATACTAAGCCAAAGCAAAACGTCTTTGAGAAATAATTTAAAGCCTTTTTATTCATTCTCTTTTCCTCACGTTTTTACTGATATGCCTTCCTTTTTCTCCCTTTTACTTTCTAATCCCTGCTTCTTTTTTCTTTCCAGTTCATTTGAGCCAGTATTTCTCTCTGCATCTCCAATCTAGCTACTGTTTCAAAACTGATAGATTTATTTAAATTTTGAGAATGTTTTCATCTTTCTGGATTCTACCTTTCAAACATATTAAAGTGGACATAAGGATTATGTTCCGTAACCAGTTGCTTTCAGTGGTATCCTCTCTTGAGGTTCAAGTAAAGTGGAATATGCATTTATGGTTATTAAGTGTTTACACATGAATTTTAGTATTTTATTCATAAGCAATACACATGAGGAGTTCCCTTGGTTTTGTTTATCCTGTAATCTCTTTTGAACCTGTAGTAATGCCACATTGCAAGTCACTTGTCACAGATTTTCTTCACGTGGCTGTTTTGTCGCTGACCGTGTGTGAGTTAGGCATCCTGTCCCGAGGGGAACATGCCGTATGGATAAGATGATCCCGGTATTCGCGGTCCAGGTGCAAACGTTGGTGGGAGTCGTGCCGGCAGCCCGCGGGCTGCTGCGGGACGCGAGTGGCCGCAG